TGATTAAATGCTGCCAGCTGATTGGCTCCTGCTTGCTTGCGCCACCTGGCTCTTCGGTTACTGAACCACACCTGCAAGTGAGGACAGGAAAGAGAAAGGGTGAATTGCGCTGGGTTCCATCCATTGCAGGGATTGTCCTGTTTCACTCTGATTTCTGATGCTCTTCCTGGTCAATATCGACCAGAGCACCAGAGGGTGGGTGATTAAATGCTGCCAGCTGATTGGCTCCTGCTTGCTTGCGCCACCTGGCTCTTCGGTTACTGAACCACACCTGCAAGTGAGGACAGGAAAGAGAAAGGGTGAATTGCGCTGGGTTCCATCCATTGCAGGGATTGTCCTGTTTCACTCTGATTTCTGATGCTCTTCCTGGTCAATATCGACCAGAGCACCAGAGGGTGGGCAGGTGAGAGAGAGGCAGAGAATAATCCAGCACTTAATGCGCTGGCCTACAACTGGGGTGAACTAGGTTCAAGTTCCTGCTTTGGTCCACACTTCCTGCATGACCCTGGACAAGACTCCCTGTGCCTCAGTTTCCCATCTCTGCATTGAGGATCATAGCAATGTCCTATGTTAGAAGAGTGCAGGGAGAAGACGTACCATAAACACGGTGATGGTTCAGATACAACGGCAGTGGACGCCACATGACTGAAAGTCTAGTTACTAAGCCCTATAAAGAGAGCCACTATAAAGTAGCAGTATTGCTGTCATCTGGCCAATCTGCCTCATTATCTGGCAACTATGTGACTCGTGCTGCAGGGTTAGGTTACTATAATGGCAACATGGCTGCACTAAACAGAGGAGACTGATGAGCATCCCAGTGCCTATGTTTGACAAGCTAATAAGACAGAAAGAGAGCAGAAAGGGCACAGAGTTCTCCTAAGTCCTGTGCACTGCAACAAGCCAGCAGTCCTGGCATATGGCCTCCCTGCATTCGGTGCTGCAGTTCTGGGCTGCAGCTGATCTAAATTGCTGCTCATTAAAATAAACCCAGGATTTATGCATTTGCAAACTTGGGCTTGCATTGCCCCTGTTTTACCGCGGAGACTCAGGAGAGCTTTTCTAAGTGGCTACGTCTGCCTCGAGGTGTTTTATCACAAGCCATCTCCCTCCTCCATGGCAGGAAGGGCCCCTCCAGCCATTTCTAGGATTTGGTTTATTGTAGTGAATCGGCAGGGCTCTGAGGACCGATCCCTGTTTGGGGCTGAGAAGTATGCGGATAAGCTTTCAAGCCAGATGAGAATGCAGCTGCTGGACTCTGAGAGGCCTAAAGGGCTAGAAAACGTGATTAAATTTCACAGCGACGAGAAAAAAATGGAGCAAAAATCAAGAGTGAAAAGCATGGGGGTGGGGAATGTCCTCCAGCAGGCTTTCAGGCTGCTCAGGGACAGATTAGGAGCTGGGGTGACAAGGTTGGGGGGCTGCAGTTCCCAAAAGCACCCTCTGTTTTAGTGAGCCAAAGCAAACCTCTTTGTGTGTGTGGGGGGGGGTGAAAATTCTGGGTCTGAATCTCCTTTCACTTAGCACCTGAGTCAACTGGAGTCTTTTCACAAGCTTTGGGTCAAACCCCTAACAAATATGTCCCTCACGGGCTACTTTGTATCATATTGCATAAGCTTAATTTCCTGGGGTGAGGGGCGATGAGGAATGGGTTTTCTTTCATCTCTTCCCGTGTAAGCATGGGTGGATCTCTCTAATTGCAGGCACTCTGCTACTAACTAGGATGTAGGCTGGGGCACCATGGCTTGGGGAGGTTACAGCAACCAGCGAGGTTCAATATGGGCAAGTAGAGGGGAATAATTTCTTCCATATATTTGGAATTGGTGAGTATTGTGTCCAGTTTTGCATCCCCCACTATAGGAAGGATGTGGACAAATTGAAGAGAGTCCAGCAGAGGGCAATGAAAATGATATGGGGAATGGGACATATGACTTATGAGGAGAGGCTGAGAAAACTGGAGTTATTTAGTCTGCAGAAGAGAAGACTGAGGGGGGATTTGAGAGCAGCCTTTGACTCCCTGAAGGGAGGTTCCAAAGAGGGTGGAGAGAGGCTGTTCTCAATAGTGACAGATGACAGAATGAGAAGCAACGGTCTCAAGTTACAGTGGGGGAGGTCTAGGTTGGATATTAGGAAAAACTATTTCACTAGGAGGGTGGTGAAGCACTGGGATGGGTTCCCTAAGGCAATGGTGGAAAATCTCCACCCACAGAGGTTTTTAAATCCAGGCTTTACAAAGCCCTGGCTGGGGTGATTTATTGGTCCTGTTTTGTGTGGGGAGTTGGACTTGATCACCTCCTGAGTTCTCTTCCAACCCTAATCTTCTATATTCTATGACACATATCTGGGTGGCAGGACTGATGGCCAAGGGCAGGGAAGACTTGCAGGCTGCAAGAGGAAGGAGATGGCCTTGTTGCAGGAATCTCTGAGGAGATTCTCTGGCCTATATTATGTCAGAGATCAGTCTAACGGATCATAATGGATCTTCTATGATTAAAATTGCTGACCCTGCAAAGGGATGGGGCTGTGAAATGGACTTACACTCAACGTGATCAAACAAGACAAAGGGGAAAAGCTCATAGAAGTGCTTGTTTCTAACATTCTAGCAAACTGTCTGTTTGCTACTGTCTATACACTCAAGGATAACAGCCTACTACTGGTGTCATCTAACAGAGTTATTCCTTCAGAGGGGTAGCCGGTAGCTCTGGTTTTTGGAAGCTGTTGGGTCATAACTGTGAAAAAGAACATGGGCTGATCCTACATAGCCCCGTACGTCATGCAGTCCTTTAAATCAGGGCAAAGTGGGTGTGCCAAATTATAAATATTTTGTATTTCTGTGTGCAGATGTGAGGTTCTGAAATATTAAACAGTAGAAAAGTCAAAATTTCACAAACTGTGAATCTGACACATGCTTTTGGAATTAGACCAATCAAAGCATTTCATTTCTTTAATTTGGAAAGATTTCATTTCTATTTTGATCATTTTGCATTTTTACTATTCTTAAGTATAAATTTTGAAACAAGAAAAACTTTGAACCAGAAAACTGGAATATTTCATTTTGAAAATGTCAGACTATATTTACACATTTTAAACTTTATTTTCCAATTATTTGAGTAAAATAATTTGAACTAGAAAACTGTTTTGACACATTTCTTTCTTTCTCTTTCTCTTTCTCTTTCTATAATTCATAGACACATACTCTCTCTCACAGTTTTGGTTTTGAAAAACTGGCATTTTTCCAGCTAAAACTCATTTAATCAGAAAATATCTAAACAGCTTTACTTCCATAGCATCTTTCATTGGAAGATCTCAAAGCACTTTACAAATCATTCAGCTGCACAGCTAGAGCTAAGGATACATCTATATGAGCAAATGTTACCATTTATACTATAGTCATACTGGTATATCTCTCCATGGGCACACACTTATTTTGGAATCAAAGTGACTTTTTCCACATTAGCATAAAAACCTTCCAAAGAGATATAGAGAAACTGAAAACAGGCACTTTATTCTGGTATAAGAGTTCCCACATGGGAAGTTATACGACAGCTCTTTCAATTCACACTTCAGCTTATGCTGGCATAACTTATCTATGTAGACAATTCCCAGGTGACCCACTGAGATTCAGTGTGATCTAATAGGTAGTAGCTTATACTGGTATAACTTATCTATGTAAACAATTCCCAGGTGACCCACTGAGATTCAGTGTGATCTAATAGGTAGGAGGTTAGGCTAGGAGTCAGGGAACCTAGATCTGCTACTTAATTACTGCATGGTACTGGGCAAATCATTTCATTTCTATGTGCCTCTCTTTCTCCTCCCATCAGTTGTCTGCCTTGTGCAAATAGAGCTCACGTTCTTTATAGCAAGGATTGGCTTTTACTTTGTTGGTTCTGTGCATAGAACAGAGGCCTTTATCTCATTTTGGGCTTCTAAGTGCTACCGAATTACAAATGATGATAATAATAATACACACACAGTCATTTATCAAACATATTGAATTTGTTTTTGTTTTTGTGGGACAATCTGCAGGACATGTGATTTTTTTGGGTCTATTTGTTATTTAAAAATAACCAATTAATTCTGCCTCCCTCCCCCATCTCATTTACTGCTTGGCTGATGTTGCTTTGTTGTGATTGGCCACCTAAGTCACATGACATTGTCACTGTTTCTTGACTGGATGAGCATAACTGCCTAGGTTTCTGACTATGGTGTGTGTTCTTCTTAGTGACACTTGATTGCAAAGCAGACACAAAAGTGTGCACACATGGGTGAAATTGGTTGAGCAACATCTAGTGCAGGATCCTATTTCTAGCAGGGGCCAGCACCAGCTTTAGAGGAAGGATTCTGGCAATTCTAGTTATGCTATAGTTCCTCCAGTGCAAATTTCCTCCTCTATTTAGGGGCTGCCTTAAGCCCTCGAGCTTGTGGTTTTATAACAACTCTTCTAGAGGCCTTGTTTTTTGAATATTTACTATTCTCAATCAGGTTATTTTTGTTACTCACGCAACTGGCTAATTCTTTTCTGAATCCTGTTAAACCTTTGGCCTGAGGAATATCTTGTGGCAATGAGTTCCACCGTCAATTGTGCACTGTGTGTTTAATTCACAGGCACATTTCTGCATTACTCACAACTCTATTGTGATAGTTATTATACCCATATTAAACCTATATTAAATATAGGTAAAATGAGGCATAAAGCACTTACATGATTTATCCAGGGCCACAAATACATCAGTGACTAAGCTGAACACAGAATCTAGAAATACTGATTTCCGCTTCCTTGCTTTAATTTCCGTTACCCTCCCTACGCACATTCCCCATGTACAATTTTTGGCACTCATTCCCAAGTATTACCAGGTAAATCAAAGATAGATCTGAGAGTCAAAGGGATGAGTTTACATCAAGGTTCATAACACTGTAAGCTCTTTGGGGCAGGGACTGTCTTTTTCTGAGTTTGTAAAGCACCAATCA